GCAGGACGTTGATGCTCCAACAGGGCTGGCGGATCCCCCCCGTCGCCATGCCACCGCCGCTGAACTTCAGCATCCAGCCGACGCCGGTGCTCTTCGAGGCCTTCGCGGACCCCTCCTCGATGGGGGTTCTTTTGTTTTTACCGCGCGGCTCGAGTGAGGCGACACTGCTGGGGCCGATCTCCTCCCACGCACCCATGACGGGCTTCCCAACGAGGCGGCCGAGGAATCACTAAAAAAAAAAGGAGGAGTTTGAGAATGATCGAGAAGGTGCACGCGTTTTTTTTTTAATCTTCTCCCGAGAATACCGGAGTCACCTTTGGGCGACTCTCGGAGCAAATAGGGTTGCCGCGGGTCATGGCTTCACCAGAGTGTGCAAATAGACTGGTAAAAAAAAACTATATATATCTATTTATGAGGAGCGCAGTTTTTCGGCGCAATTTTAGACGATGACTGCTTATTTTTCAACCTTTAATATTCTTTTTTATCGTGTAAAGGGAAATTAAAATAAAATTCCTTCGAGTATAAGATTTTGTTTGAAATGCAAATGTCCTAAAGTGATGTCGTATTTTATCTTTTTTTAGTTACAAAACTAGAGCGTTGAGTTTCCTTTTTATTTATAGTTGCAGTTTTCAACGTTGGAGAGATATTTATTACATTCGCTTTTCACTCGTGCGTGCACGCAAATTCGGAAAAGCAACAACTACCCGAAGGATAATAAGCAACATGAACATAAATCACATGAGTTCTATGGCATTATGAGTCTTGATCTGAACTCTTAGTGTCTTTCCCTTCCCTTTTTTTTTGGCTTACTGATTGCAGTGTACCTTTTCTTCCCTTATTCTCCACCTTTTCTGAAAATTGTATGGTCATATATTGCATACTTATTTTCAATATTATATAAGTACAACATATACGTATACATTGACAAACGAACACACTAGAAACTGTGTAATATAATATTGAAAAGCGCAACATGCGTCTTTCCTATCCAAAAAATAAATGGTTGTCCGATTACAGACTACGTAATGCATATCTACTAGCTATATTTATCTATCTATCTATCTATATATATATCTATTTATCCATATATCTGAGTGCAGCAAAAAAGGAGAATTTATGAGAAAAATGTTCTTTGACATTCCTCACACGATGATAAGAATGCGTGTAGTATGTCACTCGGAATTTTTTTTTTAATATCCCTCTTCCTTTTAGTACCTTCGTTTCGTGTTTATTATTTCAACATACTACTTTTGATTTATGTCTTCTTTTAGAATGTTTCTTTTCAAACGAGGGATTTAACTAGTAGTTGGGGAAGTGATATCCCAAAAAGTTTCTTTTCCACTACTTCTTTGACATGTATTACCCCTTAAGTGTGAGAAAGCTTTTATATTTGGCCTTGTGCATTATCGTTATTGACACAATTATTATTATTATTATTATTATTATTATTATTAAGAAGCAATAGGTGCAAACTTAAAGTGAAAAAAGAGTCAGTACCATGTAGTTAAATGCAAGTAAATGTTAAACGCAAATGTTGGAAAAAAAAGTCACCATACCCAATAAAGGGTCAATTTCGTTCTGATTTTTTTATAAACAAGGAATGCTAGAATCGATAGATTCGTGGTATTGATAATCTCCAAATATGACAAAAATGAGAAATATGACAAATAATAGGAGAGGCTCCAAATCTACCAATCAATATCGATGTGTGCATTTATTTCAATGTGATATATGTGAATCGGTTGTTCTGTAATATATTAGCAACAAGAGGATGCAAAACTTTTCCTCAAAATGGAAAGTACTTGACTTCACTTGCGGTGTGTATTGATGTGGGTTTGAAAGACTTCTTCATCCTTGTAGGGATTTTATCTTAAATCCTGATGTTATATCATTTCTTTAATTCTTATTGGTCGTTTTCAATTATTAAGGAATCCCTTCAACGATAGAATCAAGGATTACATTTTGTACATACCTATCATTTTTTAGACTTAGTTCATTTTACTTTTGCCTTGTTTCCATATAAACTTGGTCCTAGCTGTTACACTTACCTCCAACTTTAGATCATTCACAAGTGGTCAATCATTTTCCGTAGTCCCCTCAGACGAAGCCAACACGAACCATCCAAAGGGTGCCCATTGATCGAGCTCAATAAGCGATCGGGCCTTTTCTTCTCCCCCTTTTCCCCACAGTCGTTGGGGTTTGATGGAGGCCCCAGCCTAGGCTCTTCACACCCTTTCCTCCCTCTTCTACCCCTTTCAACCCCCTTCTCCTCCCCCTTTCAGGAAGATGTCCAATTCACCTGACTCACCCTGTGACACGCCGTTATCCCGGCCTCAGACGCCGTCCTCACTGCCCTTCGAAAAGGAAGACTCCCTGCCCTCCCTTCTGTTACAAGAGGTGTCCTGTTTTGCGTCTTCTCCCAGTCCCAGCCCAGCCTCTTCGCTGACCAAACAGGAGTTGGGGTCTCGGGTGAGGTCGGACGAGAGGGACGTCCAGGCCGCCGACTCCGACAGCGAGTCATCCACCTTCGAGGATGGCGTGAACGATTCAACGCCCAGGACAGGGGGGGCGGGTACAGATTCCTACGCTGCCATTCTGGAGAAGCTCAGCAAGGCGGAGGACGTCTTGAAGAAGGCGGGGAAGGTGGTGCTGGAGGAGTCCTCGCGTAAAGATCGTGTGCGGGAGGAGGACGGTGCGTTCAGTTTTGAATGGGCGGAGCTCCGTCAAGCGCTCGAGACGTTCCAGCGGCGGTGTGAGGACCGCTCGCAATACCTTCCTGTTATGGAGGTTCGGCGTATGCACGAGGACTTTAGAGATACACAACAGTCCCTTTTATCGTGCATAATTTCCTCATTAGATGCGTTGTTGGATATTGGCGAGGAGGGTAAGACAAGGCTGCCTGTGAAGCGAAGTGCGATGCGGTCAGTAGTGGCGAACCTGGAGCGTCGTGTGGAGTGCGTGGAGCGATCCCTGGAATGTGTGGTATGTAAACTCGATGAAATCGACGGTCTTGAGCGAGAGGTCGGTGAGTTCTTGCGGTTGCTCCTCGCGGAAAACGAGGAGTTGTGGCGGCTTCAGGAGAAGAGCGCATTGACGGAGCAGCGACCCGTGCATCCGGGGGACGTGGTGCCGACGGAGAAGTACCTTTATTTGCGGTGGAAGACCGGTGTCCTCGCGGAGCGCCTGCGCAAGACTCAGCAACTCTTGGACATGCATCAAACCCTTGCAACACGCCTTGAGGACGAAACACGGGAGCTGCTAAGAGAAAATAATTCCCTGATCGCGAAGCTCGACCGCGAGCAGCAGGTGGTTCAGGAGAGGACAGTGGCTCTGTCCAAGGCCAATCAATCCCTTCAGGACGCCGTCAGACAGATCGAAAATTTGCAGGCGGAGCTGCTCTCCGAGCGCCGTTCAAGGGAGCGAGCCGTGGAGCAGTTCAACGGGACCTACACTTCTATGAAAGTAGATCATGAGCGGCGCCTTGACCAGCTTCGTCGTGCGTCCGAGGAGGCCGAGGCGGGGCTTCGGAAAGATTTTCAATCCCTCACCGACGAAGCGGATTCCCGGAATAACACGTTAATGCTACGTGTCCGGGAGCTCGAGGACGATCTTTCGCACGAGCGCTCGCAGAACGCAGGTCAACTGCGGGAGTTCGAGGCCGCGAGTCGGCGCGTTTGCCAACTCAGCGCGGAGCTCGAAGGTTTGAGGTCCGAGGAAATCGCGCGGACGTGTCAGCATCAGGCGGCGCAGACGACGTTCGAAAAGGATCGGGAAAGCCTCCAAAAGGAGCTCGATGGGCTGCACACGCAGTGTGCCGAGATGGCGACCCAACTGCAGTCCGAGAAGCTCCTGGTGCCGGACCGGGAGCAGCTCCTGTTGGAGAACCTGCGGCTGCGCGAGCAGCGCCAATGCGTGCAGGAGGAAAACGCCTCACTGCGCGAAGAACTGCGGGCCGCACTCGTGAAGCGGGAGGCCTTTGCGGAACTCTCCCGTGAGCTCGCGGGGCTTCGACCGCGGCTGCGGGAGTTCGCGAAGCTTCGGGATGCGACCAAAACGGCCCGCGCCGAGGCCCGGAGCGCGGCCGAGGAGACAACGGCCTTGTGCAGGGCGAGGGATGAGCTCGCGGCGAGATTAAATCGCCTTTTTGAGAGTGCGAAGGCCCCCACTCGGGTTGACGAGGCCTCCGACAACGCTACGAAACGCCGCCATCACGTCTTCCGCCATACATCGCACGTGGCGGCGGGAAAGGGCACCGGAGAAGCGCCACAGGTGCGATCAGAGCCGTCATTACACCTCGCGGACTCAACCCGGGCGCTTTGGCCACGTGTAGGTGATGAAACACCCCCGAGGGGACATGACCGCCCTTATGTCGAACGTAGCGCGTGATGCGCCATATTTTCTTGAGTTCTTGCGGTCGTGTTATTTCTTGGTCTAGTAGTTTTAGACGTTTTTTTTTCTTATTATTTTATCGAGAATTTATTCCTTTTTTTTGTATATGGAAAACGCGCAACGTTTCTCCGAGTACAACAATGATGATATTCTAATTCAAAATTAACGTCTAGCTAACATGTTTACTGTTTTGTTCGCATGTCATTTTAGTATACTAAAATCACAGTGGGAGAAGGATAAACCATTTACCTTTTCTTTTAAAATTTTTTCTATACTTTTATAGATCTTCAAGCTTCTCACTATACAAGCATTCACTGCGTGTGAACACTAAACACTATACATACTCTATCTATTATTACTTTTTATTGTGCAAGTTCGCACCACTATTATTGATATAAATATTTACTATCATAATTACTGCGCAAAGATATAGGGTCAAGTTGAAGTAACATTCATTAATTATTATTATTATTATATTTAATTTTAAAGATAAGGAAAATTATCGAATACACAGGGGCAAAGGGCGTTCTCTTTACTGTTTTTGTATTGACATAATTACCTTATAATATTAAGACAACATATTCACCCAAACTGAACTCAGCGATCTATCCCTATCAGGAAGGAAAATAAGAACGAGATGTCGGTGTTTGGTGTGGACTTTGGAAATCTCAATTCCACCGTGGCGATCACCTGCCGCGGCGGTGTCGACGTCGTGACGAACGAAGTTAGCAAGCGCGAGACCACGACCATCGTCTCCTTCGTCGAAGATGAGCGTTTTATTGGCGAACAGGCCCTAGACCGGTACGTACGGAATGCCAAGAACACCATTACCCTTCTCAAGCGTTTTGTCGGGATGCGGATTAACCACTCGGACCTCGAATTCGAGAAACGTTTCCTGACCTGCCAGATCAAAGGGGATGAGGAAGGTCGTGTGATGTTCAGCGTTAATTATTGCGGGAAGGCGCATGATTTTTACCCCGAGCAGGTGCTGGCGATGATGCTGCAGAGGCTCCGCACATACGTGGACAACGCGCCGTCGACGGATCCCAACCCGAAAACGACCTCGCACGAATGCGTGATTGCGGTGCCCAGTTATTACGACGCCGACCGGCGCCGCCTGATTTACCAGGCCGCCGAGGTATCCGGCCTGCACTGTATGTCGTTGATTAACGAGTCCACGGCCGCGGCGATGGACTACGGAATCTTCCGAGGCTCCACCCTTAACGAGACCGAGGAGGATAGCCAGGTTGTGGGCATCCTGAGCATCGGTTACACCACCACAGAGTTCTCCATCTGCCGATTCTGGAAGGGCAATTGCAAGATTATAGGTCGCACCCTAGACATTAACACCGGCACCCGCGACGTCGACTACGAGCTTTTCAAACACATGATTAATGTTGTCAAGAGCAAATACCACCTTGATGTGAGTGATAACCGCCGGGCAACTTTGAGACTCCTACAGGCCTGCGAACGGCTGAAGTATCTGCTCTCCGCTAATTCCTCCGCGCCCCTGAATGTGGAGAATATTATGGAAATTGACATCAACATCCCATGCTTTGAGCGGACGACGTTGGAGGAGCTCTGCGCGGGTATCGCAGAGCGCGTTCGCGGGGTGTTGGAGCGCGGCTTCCAAGAATCCGGCATCGCTCCGGAGAAGTTCCACAGCATCGAGGCCATCGGCGGCGGCTGCCGTATTCCCATGTTCAAGCAGATGATCGAGCAGACCCTTGGCCGTCCCGCGAGCTTCACGTTAATCGCCTCCGAGACGACTGCACGGGGGGCGGCGATCATGGCGGCGATGTTCTCCCCGAAATATCTCGTCCGGCGGTTTAAAATCGCGGAGATTGCGATGTACCCGGTGTTGTTGGGGTATTACATCGAGAACCCGAAATCCCCCAGCGCGGTGCCGTTCCTGCCGGAGGTCAACAAAGTCGTCACCTTACTGGGGGCGAACGGGGCCTTCCCGAAGGTGGTAGATGTGAAGATCCCGCGGAATGGCCCACTCAAGCTCTACGCCTTTTACGACCCCGAGGACGCGAACGTCAAGCGGCTGGTGATGCCAGAGAATTATGTGGTGGGGGAGTGGGAGATCGGGGCGCCACTGGAGAAGCCCCGCGGGCACGTGCACGAG